GTAGGTTCATGTGATGTGTGACATAATCTAATGTTTTCTGATAGGCAGTTGAGTCCTAAAAGGCCTTGAAAATATCAGATTAGCGTGGTAAGGCACTGCTGCTCTCAGCAGGGAATGGTATGATGACATCTGCTTTGAATGACAGTCAAATAATAACTGGGTTTAATGTTTAGTGGCGTGATAAATGATCATTTAAAAAAAAGTTGATTAATTTTCCTTCTTTCAACCAGGTGATTTGGTATTATGTAAATAGTTCAATTATTTCTTATTTTTAAAAAATATTTTGTAAAGCCAGAGAGAACCTCAGTAATATTCTGTATAGAATCCCTTGAAGGAGTATTCTTTATTGCTCAGAAAAATATATTAGATGGGATAGTTTAACCTCAAACAATGTCAATGATTGTTTTGTACAGCTTAAAATAAATTGAATTACTTGAATTAGAATTAGGTAATTGGAAAGAAATGTTTTAATGTAGAAACATAGAAAATATTGAAATACATTAAATTTAGCAAAACATTCTCTTGTTCATTTGAGTCATTTATTCCTTCAATACTAGAATCACAGTTAATTTAATCGGGTTGGCAAAAAGTTACTTTAGAAATGTATTTTCTCTTCTAAAATCTAGACTGAAACCTTTATGTTTTTGAATTTTTTTTTTTTTTAGGTTAAAAAATGTAGTTTATTTAAAAGTAAATTAGAGGCCGGGCTCGATGGCTCAGCCTGTAATCCCGCGCTTTGGGAGGCCGAGGTGAGGGGATTGCCTGAGCCCGTGGGTTCGAGACCCACCTGGGCAACTTGGCGAGACCTCATCTCTACAATTAAAAAAAAAAAAAATAGCTGGGTGTGGTAGTGTGCACCTGTAGTTCCAGCTACTTGGAAGGTGGAGGCGGAAGGATCACCGGAGCCCAGCAGGTCAAGGCCGCGGTGGCTGCAAGCAGCCACTGCATTCCAGTCTGGGTGACTGAGTGAGACTCCAACTCAAAAAAAAAGTAAATTAGAGAGAGAAGGAGAAGGGAGAGAGAAGATTCACCTCCCCAAGGTAGGGGGTGGGGCCAAAGCCAGGAAGCATGGCGACAGCCATAGTTCAAAGAGTACATGGCCACACCAGAGTCTAGCAAGGCAATGGTCTTGACTGTTTATGTCTTCGGAAATCGGATGGGGCTAAACTTAAGGAAAGAAACAGACTAATGCTTTTAGATTTCCACATTCTGGACTGGACTTTTGTCTTCTTTGTGCATGGCAGGTTTTATTGAGATAGCCGTTCCATGGGGAGGAATATGACCCTAGGAACCTGCTTTCCTTTTCCATCACAACCACTCAAGCTTCCTTCCTTTCCATCCTTTCTTTCTCCCTTTCATTGAGCCCAATTCTGCCCTTGGCCTCTGGATGCTTGCTGTTTTTTCTTTGCCAGGGCCAGCGGAGGCTGTGGTCTTTCATGGTATGCCTGACAGTGGTGACGCAGGAAGGAAATGTATATCCTAAAACTAGTGCCACGATTACCATTTCATCTGCTCCTCAGAATTCTCAACTCATGTGATCAAATATTCAGGATATTTTCCTTTGGGGCATAGGTGGATCTTACATCTTTTATATTCCACACAATCTACCAAGAGCATAGCGTTGCTGTGGGAAATGTGTTGATGTTGGTAGCTGTGATAAGGACAGTCAGGAGGTTGATCTTAGCAGAGGAAAAAAAGGGCCAACCAGGAAGTCAGCCTGTAACTGGGGATATGTTAGCAGGAATCTTCCAGAGGTCATCCCCTCCTTCCCATGTCCACCACCTCTTTTTTTTGGAGGGGGGGTGAGTTGGGGTCTCACTATGTTGCCCAGGCTGGAGTGTAGTAGTGCAATTATAGCTCACTGCAGCCTTGACCACCTGGGCTCAGGTGATCCTTCTGACTCAGCCTTCCAAGTAGTTGGAACTACAGGTGTATGCCACCATGCCTGCCTAATTTTTTGACTTTTTGTAGAGATGAGGTCTTGTAACTAGTAAAATCTCATACTGCTGGGAACTGCCCTTTATCAGGCTTGCACAGAAGGTTCCAGATGGTTTTTAAGAAGCTGGAAGTTTCAAAAAAGTATGTTTGATGGCTCAAAGTTGTGTGACTCCTTGGATAACCTTGATTAGCAACTGAAAATAGTTTTAGGTGGTAATATTATCGTAGGTTGGACTTTTTTTTTCTTTTTGAGTTGAAATCTCACTCTGTCACCCAGGCTAGATTACAGTGGCATGATCACAACTCACTGCAGCCTCGGCTTCCTGAACTCAAGTGATCCTCCCACCTCAGCCTCCCAAGTAGCTGGGACTACAGGTGCACACTGCCATGCTTGGCTGATTTTATTTTATTTTTTTGTAGAGAAGAAGTCTCACTTTGCTGCCCAGACTGGTCTCAAACTCCTGAACTCAAGCAGTCCTCCTGCCTTGGCCTTTCAAAATGCTGGTATTACAGGCATAAGCCTCACTGCAGCCTTGGCCTCCTGGACTCAAATGATCCTCCCACCTCAGCCTCCTGAGTAGCTGGGACTACAGGCGCACACTACCATGCCCGGCTAATTTTATTTTATTGTAGAGACAAAGTCTCACTTTACTGCCCAGACTGGTCTCAAACTCCTGAGCTCAAGCAGTCCTCCTGCCTCGGCCTTTCAAAATGCTGGCATTACAGGCATGAGCCCCACTGTGCCCAGCCTAACTTTAAAAAAATGGTATAGTTCTGTGATTCTTTGAATTTATATGATTTTTCCATAGAAGACGGTAATATATTGTTTTATTTATATACTTTAAAAATTAATTTTCCAAGTATCGTACAAAGAACTGATTTTCCTAAATCATTTGACTGTTACTCTGCCTTTAACACTTTGTTTCCTACAAATCAGGATGTTCTCATACTAAACTTTCAGAAACCCATTAAAATCAGAAAATTGACATTAACACGTTAGTTACTAACATCTAATCTTTAGCTCTTATTCAAGTGTATAACCTTTATACTTGACTCTTTGTTTTTATAGTTTTTATTTCTCTGCTGAAATTCCTAATTGATTATGTATTATCCACCTTTTCTACTAGATCTTTTAATTTACTAATCATAGTTATTTTATAGGTTCCATCCAATGATAGTTTCAACATTTGGCTCTGTTGATTTATCTCTTTACAGCAAATTTTTTTTTTTCTTACTGTTTTCTATGGTGCATACGTTTTTTGAATTCAGGCATTGTTTGTAAAAGAACAGTGGAAACTAAGATAAAAAGTATTTTTGACTGAAAATTGACACTCCTGTCAGGCCCTTGGCGGTTGGTTGGAGGTTGGTTCAGTCTACTGAGTAGTTGACCTGGGTTTGGCTTTTTTGTGGGTGTAGTTACTTTCAGTTCAGCACATGCTTCAAAGTCCTATTGATTTCTTGTGCATAGTATAGGGCCAGAAGTACCAGAGGGTTTTTCCTGGTGTTTCTGCTCCACCTTCAGTACTGTATGCCTTTGCCACAGGAGTGTCTCTCCATGCCCCTCCCCTGACCTTGGGATAAGGTCGCCTTTGCTAATAACTCCACGTGAGGGTGGGGGGGGCTGGGACAGGGGAGCACTCAGTTTTCCTGGTTTAGCTAAAATTTCATCAGACCCTGTATTCCTGGGGCGCAGGAGTGAGGCTTCTGGAGCTTTTCTTTCCCCTTCCCTGTGGTGGACGATTTGGGATGGGAGCAAGATGGGTGCCCCTGACCCTGTGGTCGAGCTCGGCTTTATGTCATTTCAGGACCCTGGGCCTGTGGGAGTGTCCTGCTGCCCACGGCCTACCTCCTAGCAGTGGATACTTTTGCCTCCACCCCTTCTCTGGAAGTGGTGGACTTTTGCCTGATGCTGGGATGGTGTGGAGGGTGGCAGGTGGAGTTCTTTCCCTCCCAGGATTAGGTGCCTTTGCGTCTCACCTTTTCAGTGGAATGGTTTCCTGCACCTCTCCTAGTGTCTGACAGGTTTTGCTTTTGCACGAGAAGCTTCCAGGAATTGAGTGGGGTTTTGTTCTCTATGCCAACCGCAGGGTCTCTCTTTGGTCTCTTATCTCACCCCTAACTCTTGCTGTCAGCACCCCTGAGGCCCATGGAGAAGAGCTGGAGAGTGAGTGTGTCTGGGGCTCCAGGAAGTCTACACCATTGCCGGCCCTCACTTGTTTAAGGTCTTTTTTCCTTACCCACTTTTATGGCGTCTCTTTTCTCCATGCTCAGTTTTTATCTCTTCTCGAGGGACTTGGAGTTCAGTTCACCTTGTGGCCTCCACTCTGATGTGGTTGAGAAAAGTAAAGATTGTGTAGACCCCCTGGCTTTTTCTCAGTGTTAGGGTGGGAGTGACGTTCCCTTGTGGCTACGTAATTTATTCGAGCTTTCACCTTTTTTAACAGTATGAAACTGACTGCATTCATCCTTAATATGGAGACTCATTCGATCAGTGCCCCTGTGCGTAGCCAGTCTCCTATGCATGCCCTCGTCCTCCCCACGCAGGGATCCCCTTTTTCCTTGCTTGTGCTCTGACACCCCAGGCTGGGCCACCACTCTGCTCGGTGCCATCCTCACCAGCTCAGGCTGGGAAGCCCCCGAGCGAGCTGCCTCTCCTACATAGATGCTTCCTCGTTCTAGGCAGCTGCATCCCTCCCACTCGCCCTGCCCACACCCAGGATTAGATTCTTTCTGTGCGGGAGCTCTCACAATTCTGTCCTGGCTTTGAGTCCCCGTTCAGGCCACCGTTTGTGGGTTTCCCCCTCAGTCCGCCTGGTGCCAACACTCACTCCAGTCGACCTCCCCACATAGGAGCCTGCTTTACTCTGGCCCGCCTAATGACTGTAGGACTGATTATTCAAGATGGAAAGAGAAGGGAAAAGAAGCTGGGAAGAAGCAGGGGGAAAGGAAGCCAGCAAGTTCCATGTACTCCTGTAAGAAAAGACTGCGCTTCTGCGTTACTGACCATCCTTTCGTACAAACTAAAATATATTTTAAGTATCTGTATTTTGTCTTTTGAACAGGCTATGAAGTTCATGGGATGGAAAAAATACCAGAAGATGGACCAGCACTTATAATTTTTTATCATGGAGCTATTCCCATAGATTTTTACTACTTCATGGCTAAAATCTTTATCCACAAAGGCAGAACTTGCCGAGTAGTAGCTGACCACTTTGTCTTTAAAATTCCAGGTAAGCTTTCACTGGAGATAGTGATATAAAAATGTTTAATAAACACACAACCAAATTATGTAGTCCTCTCTATCTTGAGCTCTCCGGTACCATTTGAAAACGTTTTTTGCCTTTTTAGGGCATAACACACTTGGAACTCTAATTTGGAAATACCTAATTATTCTGTTTAGGCACTAGATCTAAAAGTCAAAACATTATGATGAAAAATGTTATCTGATTTCTTTGTTCGCAATTTTTAGTCATTTTTTTCCTGAGTCATATCTTGAACTATAACTTTTTAAATACAAGTTGTAGTTTTTGCCAAATAATTATGTTTTGTTCTAAAGGGTAGTTGATTTTTCACATAATGAATTTTTTAATGGGATATTGATCTTTGGAGTTTTACTTTGCTATAGCAGTGTCAGTAACTGTTTAATAGCAAATCAAAATTAGTAAAAAACTGAGGATATATTTTATCTTCATATAATAATATGAAGACCTACCATAAGACATAATAATATGAATATTATCCCCTAAATAGCACATACATTAAATCTCTTATCATATATGACTTGCCTGGTAGACTTATACTCTAACATTGAAGACTATTTTCTTCTTAATCAGTTTATAAAGACCTTGTATCTTTTTTAAAAGATAAAAAACTGAATGGTTTCAAACATGGTAGAGTTTTACAAAAATTAATTTTGAATAAAATCACTGAGAATGAATCTTATTTTCTTCTGTCACTAAATCACCAGAAACAAGCCAAAAAAGTTAATAGTATGTTTTCTAGAATAAAAGCAAAAGCTGACCCATTAACTAGACAAACACAAACCAAGCAGTGAATTAAATAATGATCTGCTTTGGTGTCTTGCATTAACATAGTTAATGCTTTGGGTATCCTTGTGTCACTTCAAAGCCATTTGTACCTTATATATAAACTAAATTGCCTATAAGGTTTCCATTAAAAAGTAACATAATTACTTCATAATAGATTTGGAAACTAGAGAACAGAGGAAACCTCATTATAATCTTACCTTTCTAACACAGTTATTTTGATTTATTTTGCTTAATTTTCAATTTGCATGTTTTCACATATTATGCAAATAATTTGTGTGTGTGTGTGTGTGTGTGTGTGTGTGTGTGTGTATGTTTGTGTGTTTTAAGATTTAATATTAGCATTAGCAGCCTGGGTGCTAATACCCGTAATTCCAGCACTTAAGTAGCTGAGGCAGGAGGATCACTTGAGGTTGGGAGTTAGAGACCAGCTTGGATAACACAGACTCCTGTTCCTATTAAAAAAAATTTTTTTTGAATAGCATTAACATTTTACTGTGTTGTATAAGGAACAATTTTAATGTATAACTAAAATATTTACTTAACTAATTTTCTCTCGGAGTATTAGGTTGCTTCCATTTTTCCGCCTTTTTTATAAACAATAAAATATGAATTTTTTAGCACTTGGCTTTTCCTTTTCTTTTCTTTTTTTTTGGAGTCTCACTCTGATGCCCAGACTAGAGTGCAGTGGCCGCTCCTGGCCGCCACAGCCTCGACCTTCTGGGCTCCGGTGATCCTTCGGCCCCAGCCTTCCAAGGAGCTGGAACTACAGGCACGCTACCACGCTCGGCTAATTTTTTGATTTATTGTGGAGATGAGGTCTCACCAAGTTGCCCAGGTGGGTCTCGAACCCACGGGCTCAGGCAATCCACTCACCTCAGCCTCTCAAGGCGCAGGATTGATTACAGGCTGAGCCACCGAGCCCGGCAGCACTTGGCTTTTTCCAAAAAGTTTCTCTCTTTAAAAATACTTTAACTTTGATTTATCTTTAGTCCCTTATTACTTTCTGAAGGTATAAAAATTATAATTATTGGTACAAAAGAGATTTTACATTTCATCTTGTAATTTATGAACCCGCTCCTGTTCATGTATTCATTATGAACATGCATCTAGTTAAATCAGTGAGCTTTTAGTATATCGTAGGGTGAAAGTTCTTATACTCTTAATATTTATAATTTTGCTTCATGTCTTTAAACCCATGAGGCTTGGATAGTCTGCATAGTTTTTAGCATCTATCCCTCTATTTTCCAGTCTAAAGGAAGAATGTATACTTACAATCACCCTCGAAAGTTTCAGGGTAGAATTTGGTTACGGTATTTAATTACTGACAGGATTATTTCTTTCATCCATAAATAGTTGTAATTTGAAAAGCTGTATAATATTAAGAGTTGGAATTAGCTGTTCTCAAGCACAGTCACTTTATTCAAATCTCTTAATGATGTTTGCTGTCATTAATTTAAAAATTTTAATTACAGAATTAGCCTCATCGAACTCTTAATTTAAATAGATTTGATTATGGTTTTATCAGTTTCGGTAGGGCTAAGCATAGTCAGATTCACATTCTCTTGAGTGATTCTCTTTCTTACAGGGTTAATGGAAGATAGATTTGTGATTGCTAATGGACTATTATTTCTCATTGCTCTAGTAAATACTTTAGACAGCGTTTGACTTGAGATGCAGTGGAGGGAGTTTGGACTAGACATACTGAACTGGAATTTCTGCTTTGCCACTTACTAGGTGTGTGACTTTGAGCAACCTGTTCTTCCTCTGTACAATGGGGAGGAAACTCCTAAGACTGTTGTGAATTTTAAATAAGAGTCTGAACGTGTAAAGTAGCCAGAGTATTAGGTTATCAGTTAGGAGATGATCAGTTAGCAGGTGATAAGTAAGATGTACCCATTACTTAACCAGCAATATTAATTTTATGTTAACCTTAAGAGTTTTTGTTGATTTTAAGAAATAAAAAAGTTTACTGATTGAAGAATAGATAGTAAATTATGTAGGTTGTAAAGCTTTTGCTCTTGAAGAATTTAAGAAGTACTTAAGGTATATCTTCATACTCATGTTTTTTACAGGGTTTAGTTTATTGCTTGATGTGTTTTGTGCTCTACACGGACCAAGAGAAAAGTGTGTTGAAATTCTGAGGAGTGGTCACTTGTTAGCTATTTCGCCAGGTGGAGTTCGAGAAGCCCTAATTAGTGATGAAACCTACAGCATCATATGGGGCAATCGTAAAGGCTTCGCTCAGGTTGCAATTGATGCAAAGGTGGTAAGTTACATAAAATTAATTATTAGACCCTAAATAAGTTTAAAATACATGCTTAAATAGTGAGTCGAGGTATATCGAAACTTAGATATTTTCATTGCAATGCTTTAAAAAATTAGTATGTATAACTTTATAAAGTACCAATAGAGAAATATTTCTTGTGCATGGGAAGCCATTGTTGAAAAAAATCAGCCTGGAACTTTGGCAGATATCTGGCATTCTTTTATTTTACATTTCAAAAGCCAGTGTCTTTTAATCAGATTTGTAATTTTGTACAAATTACTTTGTATTCCTTCAGTTATACTTTGTATCATAACTGTAATCAGCCCAGTTCTATCTTTTATAATCCTTTGGTATGATTGAGCCGGCATATTTCAGTGATGATTGTTGGTTTCATTGTAGTTCTTTTCTGTGATCAATTTTAAAACAATATGACTCAAATAGTATATGACTCCTACCATTTTTAATCAACAAATGTGGCCAGCTATCAAATAATATGGGTAAAGATAAGAAATAGATAATGGTGTAATTTAGATATTTTCAGAAGACCTTACAGATGAACCTGTCAATAAAATTAAGTATTCCTGTCGGATCCACTATAATTATTCTACTTAGTTGGCTGAAGAATGTGAATGGCGTTTTTTTTTTTTTTTTTTTCTCTTTTCTTTTGCTTTTCGAAAGTATTTCTCAGCTTTTTGGTCTTTATCCTATGAAACGCTTCTCTTTTGTTTTCTGTTTATTTTCATGTTAGATGGTCAGAGAAAGAGATCATAGTATATTTGGTAGAATGTTATTCTTTTTTCCAGGCCAGTTAGTTAGAGACTGCTACCTGTAGCTTTCACATTTCAGGTGTTTTGTGTTCCCCATTGCTGCCATGCAAAAAGCCCAGTCTGTGTCCTTAGCTTGACTGCCTATCTTACAAGTACAGACCGTTGATTAAAAAAAAAAGAGCAGTATTTGGAGAAGAATGGATGTCTTCTCTTAACTTTTTAGTTGCAAAGTTTGTAATAAAATAAAACACATTGAACTCTGCTCTCTCCTGTACATGTTTGTGTAACTGCTAGAAGTTATTTCTATAGTGCTTTGATAATGTGTTCTTAGTATGAATTAATGTACGTGTACTTGCCCAACTGTTTCACAAAAGCATACAAATTTAAATAGTACTATCCTAGAGTAGATTATAAACTTTCTGAGACAAGTCTTTTTATATTTTAAATCTCTTGTTCAGTGGCCAGCATTGGGTAGGATTTAAGTATTTGTTGAATTGAATGGATTAAAAAATACACAAAATATTTAACACTAGTGGAAAGGAACCTTTTGAATTTAATTTTATGCAAATAGTGTTAGTGATATAGACATTACTTTATAGCACATTTTACTTATTTTCCAAAAAGTCTTAAGTGGCAATGTATAAAACAAGAACCTAGATTATTTATATAAATAATATAGACTAGAAATGGATATATGCAGTTGTACAAAAATTAAAAATAATCTTTGAGATAGCCTGGGCATTATAGAGAGACCTCGTCTCTACAAAAAATTTAAAAAATATATAGCCAGGAATGGTGGTCCAGGAGGTCAAGACTGTAGTAAGCCAAGATTGTGCTACTGTACTCCAGCTTGAGTGACAGAGTGAGACACTGTATCTAATTTTTAAAAAATCAATTTAATGTATCTTCAAGCAATGCTAAAAGCTAAAATCTTAACCAAAGGTGGTTTACTTTTCATATTTACATTTTGGAAGAATTATTTCTTTAAAGGCTTAGGATAAAGATGACAAAAGTAGATTTGAAATCACATAAATTTATCACGGGATTCTAATTCTTCATCCTTAAGTTTACAGTTTTAAACAACATACTGCTGTAAAAAGGCCTGAAAGAAATGATATAGAGAAAAGAACTCTTTTTCCAGTCTTTGAGTTTCTAGGTAGTCAATTAAAATAGTCTAATAATTCAATTAACATTTTTGTGCAAAACTTCAGAAAATTTAAGAAATAGCTTTTTATAAGTTTAAAAACAAATCTCTAATGCTGTGGGTTTACAAAACAGCATGGCAAGTTTGATAAATATTGTGCCACCCCAACGTTTTGTGGCACTTTCAAAAACTTTATTTTGTACTCCTGTACAGTAAGGAGGTGACGTCTGTAATTAATTATTCCAATGTTACAGATGAGGAGACTCAGGCACAGAGAGATGGAGGGATGGAAGGGACCTGGTCCCACAGCAAGGCAGCAGCAAAGAGAGCACACAGTTCAGGACTCGAGGCAACTGGTGCCGTTGCCATCCCTGACTACATTTCACAGTGAGTCTGTTGGCATCTGAGTGGAAGGGGCTTCCTAGACAAGTGAGGGAAATCTTTCAGTAACATATGTAACCGTTGTAAATGGCACAAGTATCTCATCTGGAATATCCCTTCATAGACCTCTCAGAATTATCATAAGCTATGAGCAAAAATTTAAGGTTACTGATGCAGGATGAACTACATTTAAACTGTGACTTGAAAATTAAAGGAGAAAAATTCAAATTGTCAATGCAAGTTAACAAAAGTTTGGTAAGAGATATTTAAGGTTCATTAGAAAGTGACAGGCTTGTTATATAATATAAATCACTCTTATTCTGTGGATTATGACTGATAAGGATTTTTAGTTAACTTTATACCTACATATTATAAATCACTCTTATTCTGTAAATTATGACTCTGATAAGGATTTTTAGTTAACTTCATACCTATATAAGTTGGGGAAAATTAGCTCATTTATTCTAATTGGAAAATAAATAACAGGAGTAGGAGAAAATAACATTTTGTTTCAATAAAGTTTTTTATGTATATTATCTCACTTATCCCATAAAAATTTTTGAGATAAGAATAATTACTAATCCCCATTTTATATATGAAGAAAGTGAGACTCAGACATGGTAAGTAACTTATTCAATGCTTCTCACGTTTTTAGTGGCAGAGTTAAGACTCTAAGACCATTTTAAACTGATTCCCCAAGCATAGTTTTAAAAAATACACATTCTCTTTCTCTGACGCTTGCATGCACACACATACCTATAGAGATACATTTATATATGTAAACAGTTGAATTCTAGGTTACCATTGCAACTACCCTGTGCGCAAAATGTGCATAAGGAGTTGAATGAATAATTGTATTACAAGATCAGATTGCAATAAGGTAATGCTTATGGCTTTAGGATGCAAGCTTGACTGCAAATTTGGAAACCTTATGCCCAGACTAGAGCCGGGGATACTGAGCCTGCCAGGATAAACTTTCTTCTATTTTGTAGGCTCTAGCAATGTGCAGCCTCTAAGAGTTAGCTATTTAAGGAATCATGTTTAATGTGAATAGTCTTTATAAAGTACATATTTCAATACAGATTTATGGGATTATGCCAGTCTGCAGACATAAGTCTAGCAGTGCTGATCAGAGGCAAAATGGTGTATATGTGAGGCGAACGGTTTCTGTTTCTTCTTGAATGCTTTAAGTCTCAACTCTAATGACATTTTATAACTATTTAAAATGTTGGGATTCCAGCCATCATTTCATTTTACAAAACTAGAGGTGGTTTCCTAGTTTATAATATGAATTTTTTACAAATGAGTTCAGTGTCTTAATCTTCTTATGTGTTAGCTTTGTGAGTTAACTCCATCAAATTTTAAATTCTTCATCTGACTGCTTTTCTTTACCTGATTTCTTTCCTTTTGCTAATTGGGTTTGCGATTGCTGCTGCCTATTTCTGACCTTTGTATTCAGAGAATACAAGTTAGTTCATTAATACGTTGTCACTCAGCTCTGTTTATTCATTCTTTAATTTATCCATTGCACTTTCTTTTAGTACCTCGTCTATTTCAGGCACTGTTCTAGGTGCTAGGGATATGGCAATGAACAAAACAATGCCTCTGCAGTTATTAATTGCCTTCCGTCTGGTGAGAGGAGATGTATAATCAATACAGGAGTTATATGTGTGGTAATAAGTTTTATGAAGAAAGCTATGCCTGTAGTCTCTTTTCCTCTGTTCTTTATATCTTAGTATTTTCCAGAACTGAGTAGGAAAGACATATTAGTTTATTTAAATATCTCAAACCTTGCTCATTAAGCAGGTAATTTTGTATTAGAATACCTATACTGATGGTCAACTGATGCCCATACACACAGTTTTAACTATTCTAAAATATTATTTATGGCATATTTTGTTGATGTGTAGAATATATATATATTTATTATAATTATTATTTTAAGAGATGAGGGCTTGTTATGTTGCCCAGGTTGGTCTCAAACTCCTGGCCTCAAGCAGTCCTGCCACGTCAATCTCCCAAAGTGCTGGGATTATAGGCATGAGCTACTACACCCATCAATAATTCTTTCATATATATGCTTTTTTTTTTTTTTTGCAGTGAGTCTTATACTAACATTTCATTGATGTTGACCACCTTAAATTTAATAGACTCAGAAAAAATTTTCCTAATTCCCTGACAGCATTTTGCCAAAACCTGTCATTTAAATTTATATAAATTTCCTCTTAAAGACAATTTCTGTCTTTCAACTTTTTTCAGTGAACATGCTGTTCAGTAACTCATGGAAACCAATTTAATTTATCACATTCATCTTATTTAATGAAATTAATTATTACTATAATCTCTATTTTGAGTTTCCAGGTTTTATGTAGAATGTTAGGAATATTGGTAAATGAGATAAATATTACCATTAGAGGGCAGTCTTTCCAATTTATATTTTTACAAATAGTCAAGTTGAATTTAGTTTGATAAATTAAACTAGTCAAGCATACCTTTATTTTTAAAATATCTTCCTTTTACAATCTCAAACAGTCCCTCAAAAGTTTGCTTTAGGGAATAATCACTCTATTTTTTCCCCCCAGGCATGGTAGTAAATATGTATGCCTTTTCTCTTAAAAAAATTTTTTTTATATTAATTCCTCAATGTAGACATTGAATTGATTAACTTATTTACTTTTTTCATTCAAATTCTCCTTTTCTTTTAGCCCATTATTCCTATGTTTACACAAAATATTCGAGAAGGATTTAGATCACTTGGAGGAACAAGTAAGTTCTGATTCATAAGATTTTTTAATTACAATGCAATGCTCTCAATATTTGGGCTTTTGAGTCCTATAAGGAATGCTTTTAAATTATTAACTTGAGGAAATGGATATATTATTTTGGTGTTTTTCTCTAAGTAATGGTGGTTCTTATATGTTATGTTTTTGTTAAGAGTATCATATAGAGGGGACCGAATTGGAGGAGCTGGGTGTGGGGTGCACTGGGCTGGTGGGGAAGCTGAATCTGGAGCAAGTGGTCTGATCAGGATTGTGTTGCGCTGAAGGGACAGCGCTAGGTCTGGGGGAGAGGATCCCTGACTGTGAGACCCGCCTTCCATGGCCCCGAAAGCCCCTCCTAGTTCCCCAAGCCACGGCCACTTCCTGGTCCCCGACGCAACCATAGCTGAAGAGCAACCACAGGTCGAATTGTTCGTCAAGGCTGGCAGTGATGGGGCCAAGATTGGGAACTGCCCCTTCTCCCAGGGACTGTTCATGGTACTCTGGCTCAAGGGAGTCACCTTCAACGTCACCACTGTTGACACCAAGAGGCGAACCGAGACTGTACAGAAACTGTGCCCAGGAGGGCAGCTCCCATTCCTGCTGTATGGCACTGAAGTGCACCCAGACACCAACAAGATTGAGGAATTTCTGGAGGCAGTGCTCTGCCCTCCCAGGTACCCCAAACTGGCAGCTCTCAACCCTGAGTCCAACACAGCTGGACTAGACATATTTGCTAAATTTTCTGCCTATATCAAGAATTCAAACCCAGCACTTAATGATAATCTGGAGAAGGAGCTCCTGAAAGCCCTGAAGGTTTTAGACAATTACTTGACAACTCCCCTCCCAGAAGAAGGAGATGAAACCAGTGCTGAAGATGAGGGCATCTCTCAGAGGAAGTTTCTGGATGGTAATGAGCTCACCCTGGCTGACTGCACCCTTTTGCCAAAGCTGCACATAGTACAGGTGGTGTGTAAGAAGTACCGAGGATTCACCATCCCTGAGGCCTTCCGGGGAGTGCATCGGTACTTGAGAAATGCCTATGCTCGGGAAGAATTCACCTCCACCTGTCCAGATGATGAGGAGATCGAGCTGGCCTATGAGCAAGTGGCCAAGGCCCTCAAATAATCCCCTCCTGGGGCTTCCTCAACCTCCTCCATTTTCTCCACAAAGGCCCTGGTGGTTTCCACATTACTACCCAGTGGACACACTCCAAAATAACCAGTGGGCAGGGAATCCTGGAGCACTCATGTACAGGGCTGGAGGAGGGAAGGAGAGATGAGGGAAAGAGATGGGGGACCTGGGCGAGATTTTTTACTGTGGGGCACGTGGGTAGGACAGCGTTATTTCAGTAATAAAATACAGCATAAAAAAAAAAGAGTATCATATACTCACTGAAGCTCTTTTAAATGGGCTTTAAAATTTTGGAGCAAATGATCTAATTTAATAACGTTTAGAACAAATTAACAAACTTCCCAAACTATCTTTTTAATGCAACCCAATAAACTACAACTTTAAAAATGGGTGACAATATGATATTGAACTAAAATTAACCACCTAAGGCATTTTTGCTCTTGTTTCTGTTGTTTCTTATTCTTTTAAAAATATTTTGAACCATAATACACTTACACTGAAATTTTCTTTTTGCCTATTTTTAGTTTATTGGTTAAGAGAATAAACTTAATCCATTTGTAGAAATGTTAACGATTAGGTGTGCTTTTTCTTTGCAATGTCTCTTTTTCTTATTTTGAAATTTCAAAGTTTGTTTTTGTACCCTGTGTTTTGTATGTTCAATTGATTATGTCTTAGATGCTCATGACTATTATTGATAGTGTTTCTATCTGCATACAAGTTCCCTTCTGAAGAGCTTTAAACAGCCATTGTTTCTTTCCTGTATAACATTGCTCTTTTGCTGATATTCCACTATGTTATTTAAGTTTTAATTTCTTCTCCTCCCCTTTTTTCAAATTTAAAGTAGAAAGCAGATTTATGTGATATTTAACTTGTATTGTCAAATTATTTCTTTTAATTTATCCTGGCCGGGCATGATGGCTCAAGCCTATAATCCCAGCACTCTGGGAGGCCGAGGTAAGCAGATTGCCTGACCCATGGGTTCAAGAACAGCCTGGGCAACTTGGCGAGACCTCATCTCTATAATAAGTCAAAAAATTAGTCGGGCATGGTAGCGCGACGCCTGTAGTTCCGGCTGCTTGGAAGGCTGACGCAGAAGGATCGCCTGAGCCCAGCAGGTCAAGGCTTGGTGGCATGAGCATTCCTGTCTGGGCGATGGAGTAGCGTCCAACTAAAAAAAAAAAAGTATCCTATCTCATTTCTCCAGAATATAGTGGCAAATCATTCCAGGATTTTGTTTATTTAATTGTAAATTGTTTTTAAACTTCATTTGGATTACTTTTTGACTTTTCTTGACTTTAAAGCTGAATATTCCACAAATATCAGTGATTTTGAGTGTGTGTGTGTGTGTGTGTGTGTGTGTGTGTGTGTGTGTGAGAGAGAGAGAGAGAGAGAGACAGAGAGAGAGAGAGAGAGAAGGAGAGATTTGGCATCTTATGGTATATTCTGTTTCAGTATGGAAACAGTGTTTTCAACTTTGAGTACAATCCATGATGGTATTCCATCTGGCTTGCCTTTTTGGATTCCTTTGTTGATGCTTTTGATATGTTTTAAACACTTCATCCATCAGTTGATTATTACCTCTTTTTAATTTAATCGCGCTAAATTTCAGATTTGGTCATTAGCGTGATTCTTTGCTTTGGTGTATTAGTTTTGTTTTTCTTAATTTACAATACTGTTTTTAGTTTTTACCTAGTTGATTTGTATGCATCATTGTGTCATATTCATATAAGTTACTTTATTCTTTTTTTTGGTCTTTTATTCATGCAAGTCACTTATTTGTGAGTCTAGAATTTTTAGCTGCTAGATCTTGATGACAGTCTTTACCCTTTGTTTAGGAATAATAGTAATTGTTTACCTCTTAAAATTCTCATATTTTAAAAATCCGTCTTTTCTTTAGCAGTCTTTTTCTTTTTTTGGCATTTTTGAGTGTATAGAAAAATTGGGCAGAAAGTACAGAGGGTTCTCATATCTCCCCTCATCATTTCCCTAGTCTCCCCTGTTATGAACATCCTGCATTGGTGTGGTACATTTGTTACAATTGATGAAAAGCTACTCTTTAAAAAAAAAAATTGTTTTGATTGCCAGGAGGTGATACTTTTTGCCACTTTCCTATAAGTCTTACATACTTAATTTGAAAATTTACAATTACATGGTCAGATATTTAACTAATTCAAATGATTTTTTTTTTTTACTTTAAAATAGGGTTGTTTAGGTGGCTTTATGAGAAATTTCGCTATCCATTTGCTCCAATGTATGGAGGTTTTCCAGTGAAGTTACGCACGTACTTAGGTGATCCCATTCCATATGATCCAAAGGTGACGGCGGAAGAATTAGCTGAAAGGGTAAATTATTTTTTCTTTTTATTTTTTGGTCTTTTTATTTTCAATGTCATTACCTATTTATTTATATACTCTACCAGCATGTTCTTGGTCAGTGGTTCTCAATCAATGGGGATTGTACCCCCCAGGGGACATCCGTCAATCTCTGGAGACTTACTGTCAGTGCAGGGTTGTGAGGGGCGGCGCTACCAGGGATAGAATTTGTGTTATCTGCAGAATAGCTAGGAGTATATTTCTGTATGTAGGTTTTTGAAGAAAGATCAGAATTGAGGGAGATTTCAGAGTCACTTGCACCAAGACAATTACTGAAGCATTAAGCTTTATAAGGCAGGTTAGAGAGAGAAGGAAGAGAACTGGGGCTAGATTGCAGGACATGTAACATTTAAGGAGTAGGAAGGAGAACAGCAGAGCCAACTGAGAGGGAACTGGCACAGGGGTAAGAGAGCAAGTACATTTGTGTGAGAGAAAGTCAGTGGATGGGGTTTTTATAAAAAGCTGGAAGGTTCAGTCATATTAGTGCTTGCAAAGAGATCAAGGAGGGTGAAGATGAGAGAAGGCCACTCAGCTTGCAATCATACTTTCCAAGAGTCTGAAAAACTACCAAAAAAGCAATAAATGTCATGTTATTTGAATCATTTAGAAAGTGGGGTGAATGTATTTTGATTATGAATTTTATACCAGTCTTTGGTGTATACATAGTCTGATTTATTTAAACATTTTAAAATTGTGGTTTAAAAAGTGTATAAATTTACATCTTAACCATTTTTAAGCATACGATTCAATACTGCTAATTGCATTCACATTGTGGAGCACCATCTCTCTAGAATTTTTTCATCTTGCAAAACTGACTCTCTATACCCACCGAACAGCAGCTTGCCATTTGCCCTTCCCCTAGCCCCTGGCAACCACCATTCTACTTTCCTAAGTCTTTGTCTACTTGAGACACCTCATATGAGGTGTCTCATTCATCTGTTGATAGACACTTAGATTGTTTTCACCTCTAGCCTGTTGTGGATAATGTTGCAGTGAACACGGGTGTGCAAATATCTCTTTGTGATCTTACTTTGACTTCTTTTGGATATGTATCCAGAAGTGAATTGCTAGATAATATGGTAATTCCAGTTTTTATTTTTATTATTTTTAGGGATCTTTACGCTGTTTCCCACATTGACTGTACTTACCAATAGTGCAAAAGGGTTCTTATGTCTCCATATCCTTGTTAGCACATTATTTTCTGTTTGGTTTTATTTTTTTGATAGTGTCCCTTGAATGGATGTAAGATAGTATCCCATTGGGGGTTTGGTTTCATTTCTCTAGTGATTAATGAGGTTGAGTACCTTTTCATATGCTTGTTGACCATTTGTATACCTTTGGAGAAATGTTTATTTATGCATTTGCACAACTTTTAGTGGAATTTTTTTTGTTGTTGAGTTGCAGAATTTCTTTATATATTCTGGATAGCAACTGTATATCAGTTACGTGATTTGCTAAAATTTCTCCCATTCTGTATGTTTTCTCATTTCGTATGTTCCTCTTCATCTTGTTGATTGTTCTCTTTAATGTACATGTTTTTGGGTTCGATGTAGTTCCATTTGCCTGTTTTCACTTTAGTTGTCTGTGTTTTTGGTCTGTTATCCACGGAATCATTGCCAGATCCGGTGTCGTGATAAAAATTTATTTTTAAAGATAAGAATTTACTTCTTAAGTTTTAGATTTGTGGAGTAAATTACATGCAGGTGAGGTTTGGTAGTGAACATGTCACCCCGCGTGTGGCAGTGCGCCCCTTATCCCGCTCTCCTCCTTCTCTCCTTCCTTTAGCAGTGTCCTTTGTCTTATCCCACTTCTGTGCTCAGGGCCAGCTTATGAGTGAGAACATGTGGTATCTAGTCTTTCGTTTCTGTGGTGGTTCCTTTAAAATGATGGTCTCCAGCTGCATTAATTTGCTGCAAAGGACATGATTTTGTTCTTCTTTATGGCTGTGTAGTATACCATCATGTATATGTACCATATTTGCTTTATCCGGTCTACTTTCAATGGGCATCTGAGTTAGTTTCATATTTTTGCTGTTTTGAATAGCGCTGCAGTGAACATTACGTGTGCAGGTGTCTTTTTGGTCAAGTAATTTATGTTCCTCATTTTGCATGTGGATATGTAGTTTTCCCAATATCAGTGATGGAGAAACTGTCCTTTGTCCATTGTGTGGGCTTGGCACTCTTGTTGAAGATCATTTGACTGTATATGAGGGTCTATTTCCGGACTTCTCTATTCAGTTCCATTGGTCCATTTGTCTGTTTTATGCTAGCATCACATGCTTTGATTACTATATAGCTGTGTATAGAGAGGAAGATATAACAGTAGCTTTGCAATAGCCTTTGAAACCAGCAAGTGTGAGTCCTTTAGCTTTGCTTCTTCTTCAAGATGGTTTTGGCTGTTTAGGGTCACTGGAGCGTCCATATAAATTTCAGGGTGTTTTTTCTGTCACTTCAAAAAACGTCACTGGGATTTCTGTATGGACTTCATTGCACTGAATCTGTAGATTGCTTTGGGTAATATGGATGTTTTAACAATATTAAGTCTTCCAGTCCATGACCTCAGGATGTTTTCCCATCTATTCGTATTTTCCTTCATTTGTTGTATCAAGTTTTATGTTTTTCAGTGTACACCTTTCTTCTCCTTGATTAAACTTATTCCTAAGTATTTTATTCTCCTTTGCTCTTGTTTTCTTAATTTTGGTTTTTATTGTTAATTGGAATTGTTTTCTTATTTTCTGTTCCTGTAGTCCGATTGTTCATTGTTAATGTATAGAAGCACAACTCATTTTCATGTGTTGATGTTGTATCTTGGAACTTCGTTGAATTTGTTTATTTGCTGTGGTTTTTTAAAAATCTGTCAATCTTTAGAATTTTCTACATGTGAGATAATGTCATCTGCAAAGATAATTTCATGTCTTCTTTTCTATGCCTGGTCTGATGTAATCTTCACATCAGCTATATAGTGTAGACCTTATCATCACTGTTTTTCACATGAGAAAATGAGGTGATTCAACTTTGCTAGGTTATGCTGGGGTAACAACTAATACCGAATCTCGGAGGATAAAGACAGTAAAATTTACTTCTTGTTCATTCTATTTCTCCTGGGGCTCAGTTGCAGCATTGTCCATGTCCTCTTTCCTTTGGGATTGAGAAGAGAGTCCCAAGTGGGACGTTGCCGAAGGAAAGGCCAGGAGTGGTTGCCCTGAGAGGGCCTTTACAACTTCTGTTTGGAAGTGGCCTACACGCTTCCATGGACATTTTTTGGCCAAAGCATTTACAGCCACACTGAGCCACTGTGATAAGTAGGACCTGAGATCCTCCCACGGGATGGCCTGGAGGAAAGAGGCCTGGTAGAGAGAAAGGAATAAATGATTACAACACACCTTACTATTTCAGGACCTACCAGGTTTAGTCATGTAGAAAAGGATGTACAGCTGAAGCAGCTGTAATATTAGATTAGATGAGCCTAGAGCAGTTTGTATGTAGAAAGTTTCACAAAGGGAATGTTAACAATACATTATGTACCTTTTGTCCTTCAGTTATTCTACTGGTTCATTAAATTTATTCACAGTTTCGTTCTATTCTGTGTCTTAAAAGTGAAACCACATGACGCTGGCTTTTCGGCTGGGATGTGTTCTCCACACAGCTTGACTCTTCCCCCATCCTGCAGCAATACCTTCCCAAGAGCCCCAGGGACTCTACGCCAGGGCTGAGACCTCTCCCTTTGACGTTGCTTCTGCTCACACAGACTTTGCTGTTAGCGTAACATATTTCTTTGCTGCTCCCTGACAAATGCATTATCCTTTAGGATATAATTGAATTCTATTTTGTTCTTTTAAAATGTTTCTGCCTATCCATTTGAGTTAAGTGGGTCAGAGCTAGTTAGGAACACTTTTTTTTTTTTTTGACAAATACTACTTTTTTATGGTCAAAATAAAAGGTAATGGAGAGAAAAAAAATTTTGGCTTGGAAGTTTAGTAACCTGGGCTCTCATTTTTACTATGCCCACTAGACAGCAATGTCACTTTGGATAAGTAATCTGTTCCTTCTGTAAGTTGACATTATTGAACTGAAGTATACTTGAAATAAAGAATACTTGAGATTCTCCTTTTGTGAATGTATTGTCATGATTTTACAATCTTCTTCATTGTTAATAACATAAAAACAAACCACAGTATAGTGATCCCCAGATTATTACTAATTTGAAATTATTATCATACAAATTAGTATTTAGATATAGAATGAAACCTCTCTTAAAAATGGGCAATAGACTGTTCAGGTATTAAATTGTAGGGAAGATCGGTTTTGTAAACATCATCTAAATCTACATTAAAATATATTGAAATAATGTCAAAGATGACATGAGATATTTCCTTAGTGTCCTCCTAGTCTTAATCTGTCTTTTGTTCTATGTTCATGTTTTACATGTGTGTCTTTCTGTCTCTTTTCCTGACTGTGCATTCACATGCATAAACCTACACACACCTACACATACAGATTTATTATATGTACATGTATTTCTAAGGTGGAGAGAAGACGGAAAGAATTGGACAGATTGAGTGGTATTTAAGAAGCAAAACTAATGCGCACTACCAATGGATTGGCTATTGTGAATAAGAAGCATTTTTTAAGGATTACTTCTAGGTTTTGGCTTACGTGGCTAGATTCATGATAGTGTCGTTGGCTGAAATAGGGAACTCAGGAAAGTATCAGGGTGAAAGAATGTTAGTTTAGTCATAGATTAGGCATTTGAGGTTTGAGGGACCTTTAAAAATACTCATGGGAAGTCATATTGAACATACTCATCTGAAGTCGAGAGGGCTGAAGATGAAAACTTGGAAGTCATCAGGAAATGGATGGTAACTGAAGCTGTGGAAATGGATGAGATTACTGACTCATCCTGAGAAGACTAAGTCACTGTCTGGTTTTGGGATAATGAGTCTGCAAAAAGAGATCGAAAGGGAACAGCCTGAGAGTTCTTGGAAAACTAGGAGGTTCCACTAGCAAATGGGATTACAAGAGAGGGGTGACCGATGGTATTGAGAGGTGAAGGAAAATGAAAATGAAAAGAAGCATGTCCGTTGGACTTAGTGAAGGGGGATCATTGGTGATCTTTGCAAGGGTTGTATTTTCTTCCTTTTTTTTTTTTGAGTTGGAGTCTCACTCCGTTGCCCACGCTGGAGGGCAGTGGCACACTCACGGCCACCCCAGCATCAACCTGCTGGGCTCCAGCGATCCTTCCGCCTCAGCCTTCCAAGTAGCCCGAACTACAGGCACACGCTACCATGCCCAGCTAATTTTTGATTTATTGTAGAGACGAGGTCTCGCCAAGTTGCCTGGGCTGGTCTCGAACCCCTGGGCTCAGGCAATTCATCGCTTGACTGAGCCACCAAGCCTGGCCAAGGCGTTGTGTTTTCTTAATGCACAGCCCTGATATTTATTCACCCCCAAATCTTTTGACACCTCAATTCATACTAAACAGACTATACTTTTTCACTTGCCATTTAACTACTTTCATGATTTAATTGAAACCTAATTGTAAAGTCTTATACTACTCAGCTTTTGAACATGTATCTGAAACTCTAGCCAAACTGGCTAACTCACCATTTCATATGCAGTTATTTTCTTCTCACGCTCCTTCCCTCACCATTATTGAAGTCTTATGGGTCCCTGCAAACCCGTCCCGAACAGTGCCTCTTCAGGTCTGAACTTCTGAATATTTTCTTGTCACATTTCAGATCATTCATATCACATTTTAATTACTTTGTACTTGATTTTTAAGTTATGAGCTCCATGAAATTAGAGACTTGTTTCACTAATGTTATTGCTTCCGAAGTATCTAATTGAATGAATTCTTCTGAATGAATGAATAAAATTTTAGAATTTCATGGAACATAACCTGTGAGTCAGTTTCTATGCTAAGTACCTTGAAGGTGTCATTTCAATTTCATATAATCCTTATACTAAATATATGAAGTAGTTCTTATTTTACAGATGTGAAAACTGTGGGTTAGCAGGGCATATTTTTAAAATACATCTTTGGGCCAAGGCTTATTTATTTTATTTAGAGGTTAGAGTCTAGAAAGGAAGTAAGTATATGTGTGCATACATGCACTATGCACATTTATAAGTATAAATTTTATATAGTCTATAAACTGATTAAAGCATAAAAATTGTTCAAGTTTGTCATAAATGTAGTAGAAATAAATAGCTTTAGAAGATTTCTTAATATATCCAAATTGACTTTTCTGTTACTTTGACTTAATTGAAGTTTTTGTGAAACTGTCTAGAAATTGAGGTAATGAAGTGAAGTATATCAGTTCATAATTTCTCTTACTTTTTCTATTGCATTGCCTGATATCATGGTTTTGTATGTATGGTGATAAAAGAAAAATACAGTAGTGTTTATTAATGATTGGCAAAGACTGAATCTTCCATTTGCCAACTAGAAAATTTTCCGCTCCTTTTTTTTCTTCAGTTAATTTTGTTGTTTACCATTTGCAAGGCTTTGTTGTGCTTGGTGCTGGAGAAATACTGAGGTGTATCTTAAGGAGCTTATAGTCTGGTATAAAAAATAGCTATGTGGACAGCAACTGTAATTCAAGGTTTATTAAAATAAGCATAAGAATTGTATGCTGTGGGTGTACTAAGAAGGAAGGCATTAATTCTGAGGGGAGATGGGGGCTGAATTAGGAAGGGCTTCTTGGAAGTAGCGGTATATAAAAATCTTTACAAAGTAAATTGTCTGTATTGAGATCTAAAGGAATAATGCATTTTCTTTTATTTTCTTAATAGACGAAGAATGCTGTTCAAGCTTTGATTGATAAGCACCAAAGAATACCAGGAAACATTATGAGTGCTTTGTTAGAACGCTTTCATAAAAAACAAAAGGTCAATTAGAAGATGATTTAATACATTTATATCAATGTTTGTGTCTAAGGTACTATCTTCTAAATTTTGTAGGGTCTATAATTAGTGTTTTTAAAAATCATGTTAATAAGCATCTTTCACAGAACTCAATTGTTTGAAATTGTATTGTCAATTTTGTTTTTGCAATTGTGTCAAATATTAATTCATTACATGCCTAATAATTCAGAAAATGATTATATTTTATTTGTAAATTCCTAATGTATGATAAACGCTCATTCTTAAAATTAAGTGTATTAATAATAGTAGTTTCAGTTAAACACACATTCCTGAATAGTGTATCTAATTTCTATATCTGTTGCACTGAATTACTTTTGAGAGTTGGCGTAAGTAGAGTTTAGTATAGTCACTTAAGTTAGAAATATAAATGCCTTCATCTGCCCTTCATTTCCTTCATGACTTTGTGCGAGTCACAAGGCTTTTGTGCCTCAACAGTTCACTTTTTAAAAACATGATACTACTATGGTGAAGAATATTATTTTAATTTCTTTACATTTGCTGTGATTGATAACTGTTGCACCAAAATTATAATGGAATGAAACCATTCCTAATCTTTTAGGAGCTATGTATATATTTTTTCCATCGGATGTTTAAATTATTTCTTCAGGTATAATGTCCAGTTGCCAAGCACAATGAATAAGATGTACTGTTTTTCAAATTGAATATATTTTTAATAAGAGCCTGTAAGCATCACTATATGGTATGGTATGCATTATCAACCCCATAATATGGCATTGAATAGTGCAAGGTTATAAACCACTGTCATGCTCTGCCTTTTATGTGTTAGAAGCTGATTCTAGACTGAGGAAAGCAGAGCTTTCTTCTTTTGCTCATATCATGGCTTGTCCATTTTGATTTTGCAACCAATGAAATGGTTTATTGTCTCAATAAAAACATACTTGAATGATGAATTTATGTGAACACAAAACCTGCTGAAAAATTAAAGGCTTTCAATTTACTGTCTTCTTGAAAACTGAATTAAGAAGTATTTAAACAGAAGAGTGTCTGAAATCAAATGCAGTATCTCCTCCTTTTATAGATGTTTTGTATAGATTTTTGTATTACAAGTGTGTATTTATGACATATGTAATGTTTATAAAATTAAACAATGTAAAAATAAAGCTGAATTGCAATTCAGTTTATGTGAATTTGCATATATGAATTTAAAAATCATTTAAAACTGATTTTTCTTGTTTTTTTTCTTTACACGTTTCTTACCCATAATCATATTTTTAAAATTTTAGCCGCATTAAATAAACCTTACTCTCCAATGTAATAAATGCATTTTAATTTAAATGTCAGTGAAAGTAATCAATTAAATGATTATTTGCAGGGTTTTGTTCCCTCTAGCAGTGAGCAGTTTTGGGTTCAAAATTGATAAATATTTCTAGAAGGAATGATCATAAAATGAGTGAGAAAATTGTTTTGGGTTAACCACTAGGTTTTAAAGCCTGAAGAAAGAACAGCATTTATTAATAATGTAACAAAAGCTATTAATTTTATAGTATTTAATTTTCCTGTTTTACTTAAAACTTTTTTTTTTTGTTCTCTGGTACTCAGGTTAACAGGAATGCTTCCTATCTCAATTGATAAGATCTTTACATTTGCTATTTGAATTTAAATTTCATTGATAAGAGTCAGGGAATATGACTAAAATAGAAATATAAGTAATAAAGGAAAGGGGGTATATTAGGTCTTGATCGTTTTTGAGGAAGTGTTCACAGCCAGAACCTGAAATGAAAGCACGAGGGCTTCCCCCTCCAGAACTTAAACATGACATTTTATGGATATTTTTTATACTCATTTTTTTAAGTTTTCATTTTGAAACAATTTCAGATTGACAGAAAAGTTTCAGTAATAGTGCAAAGTTACCCCCATGTACGATGGGGAACACCAAGAAACTGGGAATTATTTTTTGGAGGGTTGGCCCCTTGTAGTACAGGTTTTCCCTGCTAGGTCAATGTTCTAGGAACCTGTCAATATCAGTGTACACGCTAGTATTGTTGTGAGAGGCTGTGTTTAGCTTCAGGGAGTTTTTTTCTTTTGTTTTGTTTCGTTGAGATTCTTTCACTACATTTGTCCATTTCATGATGGGTGATTTGAGAGCACACCAGCCCATACCACGCAGAGTGTTCTGCAGTTTTTGACCCAAAAGTGGGATGACCGCCATGCCACACCCTCCCTCCCATGTCATGCAATCTCACCCCCAGCAACTTTTCTTTTTGTTTCCCTGGGTGAAAAAATTCTGCAGAGGGAAACATTTTGCCCATGCAGAAGAGTTGAAACAAAAATGGCAGAAGCAGTAAAAGAAATCAAAATTGACCAGTTCAAAAACTGTTTTGAGCAGTGGAAGAAACGTCTCGATAGGTGGATTGCATCAAACAGAGAGTACTTTGAAGGTGACTGAAGTTTAAACATGTAAGAGTAAATATATAATTTTGTATACATTCCACGGTTTTTTTTTTTTTTTGGTCCCCTCATAGTCTTAACTCAGATTCACCAGTGTAACATGGTGCCATATTTGTCACCTTACCTCTCTCTGCACATGCCTCTTGCCCTCTCTCTGCATATATATGTATATTTTTTCTTCTGAATCGTCTAATGGGAAATTTGCAAATACCATGCCCCTTACCTTTGCCTTGATATGAGATCATCCACTTACAGAACCACAAAACAATGACTGTTTAAAAAATTAGGAAAGTCATCATTCATATGATAATCATAATCTTCAGGTCGTATTTAAATTTCACCAGTTGTCTCAATAATATCATTTATTATATCTATTTTTCTTCCTGATTCATTCATAGCAAAATCACGCATTGCATTTAGTTTTTCTGTTTCTTTTTTTTTTGAGTTGGAGTCTCACTCGGTCGCCCAGACTGGAGTGCAGTGGCCACTCCCAGCCACCGCAGCCTCGCCTGCTGGGCTCCAGCGATCCTTCTACCTCAGCCTTCCAAGTAGCCGGAATTACAGGCATGCGCTACCACGCCCGGCTGATTTTTAAAAAAATTTTTATTGTAGAGATGAGGGGTCACTGCCCAGGCGGGTCTCGAACCCGCAGGCTCAGGCGATCCACTCACCTCAGCCTCCCAAAGGCGCGGGATTACAGGCTGAGCCACTGAGCCTGGCTAGTTTTTCTGTTTCTTTAGTCACCTTTAATCTGGAACGATTCCTTAGCCTTTGTCTTTAATGATAGTGACCTTTTTGGAGCAGAGGGACCATTTATTTTGTAGATAAGCCCTCAATTTATTTTTGCCTGATATTTCATTATGATTTGACTCAGGTTATGCATGATTCCAGAAATAGAATGTGAATGATGCTGTGACTGTCTCCAGGCATCACATCAGGAGGTATATAAGGATGATTTGTGTCTTTCTGTTTCTCTCTACAGGGAAGAAACCTGGTAGACATCATTTCTTAACCACGTGATCAAAGTTACCACCACTTTTAGTGGCACAGACCAACCTTATGTGCTTTCTAATGTGATGTGCCAGAAAGAACACCACATCATTTATACAGTATTTCTACCAAAAAAGCATAATCTTTTTTTGTTAAAGTGAAGATGATTATGCATAGCATTGTTAAAAATGATTTTGGAAAATTTTCCTAATAAAAGTATAGGTTGTAAGGTTGACATTCTGCTTTTAATTCGCCCTTACAAGTTGTAAATGTTTAGCAAATTTTTTAATTGAAAGATTTATCTCCTAGTAGGTTATCATAGATAAATTTATTTCTCAAAAGTTACATTGTTTAATGTTATGATACTAGTACACTAAATATAATGGTTAGACTCTTGATATAATTTTGATCTTTAGAAATATTTTTGACTCATTATATAAGAGTTTTTTCTAAAATTATCTGGTGGTGGATATTAATATTCTCATTAACTGCTCATTGATATCCTTACTTAACTATTTTAAGGTTGTTTATAATAGTTCTTATTCATAAATCAAGTGCTTTTACTCTTAAAATACAAATATACACTTACATTTTTATACACAATGCACTTAAAAATGTCAATCCTGTTTACATCTAAAATACTGATTTTTATCATAACTTCACTATGTATTACTATTTTCTTTTTTCCTTTTTTATTTTAACTTATTGATATTTGAAAGTAATTAGATATTAACAGTATCTGAATCAAAGCACTATGAGTAGCATCTACTAAAACTGAATATTCACACACTGTCTAAAACCAGAAATGGGGCTTATGTCCTTCAAAACATGTGCTTGTAGCAATTTTAGTCATAAAATTCCCAAGTTGTCTGTCAATGGTGGTGTCTATCTGGTTAAATTATAGTATACTTACACAACAGAGAAGTGGAAAAATAAACCACCGCTAGATGCACCAACATGGATCAATATCACACACTTATTGATAAGAGAGAGACGTCAGACGTGAAAGACTAAAAATTGTATGAGCCATTTAAGAGAAAGTCAAGAATAGACAAAACCAACTATGGTGATAGATGTCAGAATAATGGTTACCTTTGGGGTTTATTGAGTGAAAGAAAACGGATGTAGCCTTCTGGGATGTTGACAATATTCTCTGTTGATTTGGGTATTGGTTTAAAGGCTCTAATATACGTCTAAAAAATTATCCAGCTGTGTAATTCAGATCTATGAATTTTACTGTATATAAACTATACCTCAATAAAGTTTATATAAATCTGAATGTCTTTTATTACTAGTGTTATGCTGATTAGATCTTAATCTGAAATATCACACTTGATTGATCATACAGGATTTCAAGAGATGCCAGATAGATGTTCAGCTATTCATTCTTCTGAAGCCAAGGTTCAAGGAAAAGTTAAATGTTGAATTTTGACCAAATGCTAACACATTGGCATAAGAACAGTCAGTCATGAGAAAGAATAGGAAGATCAGAGAAAGATGTGTATGTGGGAACTCTAGATAAAATAAAAGACATCATAAATCAATGGGAAAAGTGCTTGGTAACTGGAGTGCTTGAGGAAACTTGCAGAAATATGAAGAAAAATAAAACGAGTCCCCGCCTCACCTTACAAAGGTGAACTCTATGTGAATCAAAGAGCTAAAAGTGAATGGTAAGATCATAAACTTAATAAAGCATAGGAGCATTTTGTGACCTAGCAGTGAGAAGGGACTTCTTAAAACCTCAAAAGTAAAGCCGGGTTCGGTGGCTCAGCCTGTAATCCTGCGCTTTGGGAGGCTGAGGTGAGTGGATTGCCTGAGCCCGCGGGTTCGAGACCCGCCTGGGCA